AACAGACCCTTTGGTCCAATTTGTCCATGCTGACCAGATATCCTAAAGAAATCTGGTCGCATTTGCCAGCATTTGGCCCATATCTCACTCAAATCCTTCCTGTTCATTTTCTGAAGAAGGGTCTAGACACGAAACGTCAGCTTCCTGCTCCTCTGATGCTGCTTGGCCTGCTGTGTTCATCCAGCTCTACACCTTGTTATCCACAGTTCTTTTGTGTATTTTTTTTGCCTGACTTTAGTGGTTACATTGGTGGTGGGACCTGGCTTGTATTGTTGATATTTTTGCTGGTGGTGGTGTTGCTCGAGGAGGGGCTTGGGTTTGGGGGGTGAGGATGGGGACCATAGGACCATGACACATTGTAGTGTGACCAACCTGCTAAGAGAGTGAAAATCAACCTATTTAAATCTCTCTACCCTCTCACGATGTTACTATATCCTCCCAACCTCCTGGCTCTGGAAAATTGAAATCATCTCTCATGCCCCCAGTGCAATCAGTTGCGTTTTTTGCGTCTCTGTTGAATGTAGGAAGTTTTAAAAAAACAACCTCGGCAGGTTCAGGCAGAACCTGTGGAGAGAGAACCAGAATTAACAAGTTGGATTTTATGAAGGAGACAGGAACTCCTCCTCCGCGGATTAAATTGGGAGGCTGACCAAAAACATGAAACCCACACACCACACACCCCCTCAACCCCAGGCCCCAGCTGGAGGACCCACAAACCACAAGTTAAAATGCAAGGGAGAATCTCTTAATGGGCCACGTTAGTGCTCATTTGGGGTCTGATTGGAATTTTAGAATTCAAAATAGAATTACATTTATTGTCGTGCGCACTACAGGATTTGCCTCAATAGCTGCTAGCTCAGCAGTGCCACCGGGAGTGGTGGTCATTACTGGGACTGCACCCGCACGACCTCGCACTTTCAGACCTGGAATATTGAATCTGGGCAGGAGTTGTTGGGAACAGGCATACAGGCTCCAGGTACACATGGATGGATGGTTCTGAGGCCAGATGGTCTTGTCACTGCAGGAATGGCCATTGCTGCCAAGGGACCTCTCTGTGGTCTAAAGATTGACCAAAAAAGAATAAATCCCACGCACCACACAGCCCCACAAACCCAGGTCCCAACTGGAAGGGCCCACAAACCACAAGTTAAAATGCACGGGAGAATCTCTCATTTGGCCAATTCAGTGGACATTTGGGGTCTGATGGAATGTTAGAATTCAAATTAGAATTATGTTTATTGTCACGTATAGTCAAGTGCAGGGACACAGGAGTACAGTGAAAAGTGTACAAAGTCTCCATTACTGCTGTCATCTTAGGTACAAAATTAAAAAGGTAAAGAAATAAGTTAAAAGTTAAACAGTACAGTCCTTCTTAGTATAAAGTTGAAAAAATAAAGAATGACAGCCCTTCTTTAGCTACGGGCCTGCGTACGCTCCACAATGGGCTTTCCCAGGAGGGTTTACACTCCCTTTGAGAACTCGATCTCCTCCACGCTGGGCTCACACTCTCCTCCGACCCCGCACTGAGCTTGATTTCTCCCCTGTGCTGGGCTCAAGCTCTCCTCCGACCCCGCACTGGGCTCGATCTCTCCCCCGTGCTGGGCTCACGCTCTCCTCTGTGATGCTGTCTTGTTGCTAACTGCTAGGGTCCAGCCCAGCTCACTAGGAACCAGCCACCCGACTGCCATCCAACCTCACCATCCGCTTCACCACTGGATAGCCAGAATCCTGATCTGAGCTTTCAACGCACTTCCGCACTCCGAAACATGAAAAAGCTGTGGCAAAATCTCTTACAACTGACTCAATGGCACGCCAGCGAGACAGTATTGGGATGCCACCTCACCTCTTCCCTCACCACCTGTCTGCTCCTGGCTGTATCTTTCAGATCTGTGTCCTTCTGACCTTAAACATTAATTCTGTTCCTCTCTCCCCCCTCAGATTCTGCACAGAACTTCCAATACTTTACTGATTTTCTTTGTTTTCAGATTTGACTTTGCATTTTTGGCATCCAGCACAGCATTTACGTACAGTCTACAGAAACAGGACCTCGAATAAAGACAAAATGCTGGATGCTGGAAATCTGAGACTCATACAGAGAATGCTGGAGAAACTCAGCAGGTCTGGCAGGAGAGAAAAACAGAATTAACATTTTGTGCCCAGTTTGATTCTTCTTCAGAAAACTGTTCTCCAGTTTGGTAGAAGTCATAGTGGACTCAAAATATTAGCTCGTTTTTTTTTCCCTTTCCATTGATGCTGCTGCACTCACTGAGTTCTTCAGCGTTCTGTTTGTTGTAAGAGAAATGGGCCATTTGTCCCAGATGTTTCCTGCTAACATTTAGGCTCTATACCAGCCTTTTACCACTCCTTTTCATCTCACTCAGCGTGCCCACCCTTTTAGGTCCCTGAGGTGTTCGGCACAAAGTTGAACACGGTGGCTAGGTTGACAATGCACTGTGTCACTGAGTCATCTAGAGGAGGCTTTGATTACTGATGTATGCTGAAACGGCTGATCTCAGCGGCCATGGAACTAAATACAAGGAAGGACAAAACAAAATCCGCCAGAGCTCCTGTCCTACATCACCGTCCTGTGACTCTGAGTGGACAGTAAGGAAGGTCAACTTCCAACAAGAAAATGGTTCAGATGAGTTGCTCACACACTCACTGATCTGACTCGCAGATGGGAACATTAGGAGAAGTTATTTGGCCCTACCATTTAATTAGTTCACGGTAATTAATATCCTAACTCTATCTGCCACCATTGTTTTGTACCTTTCAGTAGACTTGCCCAATACCACTCTCTGAACATCTGTTAGGAAACTTTCCATTGACCACGTCAAATGCCAACCCACACCTCCCACCAAACAAGCCTCAGCAGTCCCAGATTTCCCACCAAACTTTCGAAGGGATTTTGTCCTGAGCAGCTGGCCTCTAATTTCGCCACTTGTTCTGGACTCTTACCTGCCATTATAACACCCCCTTACCCCATCAAAATACCTGCTCCCCCCAACCCAGCCTGCCCACTGCCAACAGAGGAGGTCATTTTTCTCTCTGCATGATCAAGCCCTTTGATTGCTTTACATACACAAATATATTCCTTAGATGAGAGGGTTAACGCATCAAGATCAACCAATGAGTAAACAGGTTGGGCCTTTATTCATTACAATTTAGAATAATGGTGGGGATCGGGGTTGGGGGGAGTGAAATGTAAAAGATTTTGAAGCGCCTTGCCAGGATAGATGTTGAGATGTTTCCACTAGTCAGGGAACTTCCAACTAAGGGACATTGTTATAGAATAAGGGGAAGCTCATTCCAGACTGAGAGGCTAAAGAGTTTTGGAGACAACAAGGTGCAGGGCTGGATGAACACAGCAGGCCAAGCAGCATCATAGGAGCAGAGAGGCTGACGTTTCGGGCCTAGACCCTTCATCAGAAAAGGGGGAGGGGAAGGGGGTTTTTGAAATAAATAGGGAGAGAGTGGGAGGCGGATAGAAGAGGGATAGAGGAGAGGATAGGTGGAGAGGAAACAAACAGGTCGAAGAGGCGGGGATGGGGCCAGGAAAGGTGAGTGTAGGTAGGGAGTTAGGAAGGGGATAGGTCAGTCCAGGGAGGACGGACAGGTCAAGGGGGCGGGATGAGGTTGGTTGGTAGGAGATGGAGGTGCGGCTTGAGGTGGGAGGAGGGGGGATAGGTAGGCTAAAGAGTTTTGTCGCTCAGAGGGAACAAGCGTCCGGAATTCTCTACCCCAAAGAGTGATGGAAGCTAGATCACTGAAACTATTTAAAGAGGTGGTAGGTAGATTTTTGAAATAATGAGGAGTTGAGGGGAATGAAGGGAACTGGCATGTAAGAGAATTGTCATCATTGAATTCCTACAGTGTGGAAGCAGCTCATTCAGTCCATACCAGACCTCCGAAGAGCAACCAATCCCCTCCTATCCTGTTCCCATAACCCCAAATTTCCCACAGCTAACCTACATAGCCTGTACATCCCTGGACACTCTATCATGGCCAACCTACCTAATCCACACATCTTTGGACTGTGGGAGGAAACCAGAGCAAGCCCATGCAAACACAAGGAGAATGTGCAAACTCCACACGTCACTTAAGGGCAGAATCAAACCCAGGTCCCTGGCACTGTAACGGAGTAGCACTTACCTCTGAGCCACATGCTGTACTAAGCTGAGGACTGGAGCAAAGCTGTTCTTATAGAATGGTGGTGGGGAAGGCTTGAGGCTTCCTTTTCCTGCTCCTATTTCTTATATTGTTACATTCTGATCTGAAACCCTGCAAGACTGCTCTGCCTTTCAATAAGACAATTGTCGATCTGATTATGGCATCAACTGTACTTTTCGGCTGACACCTGATACCCTTTGACTTTCTTGTCAATCAACAATCTTAACCACTTGGAACAGCTTAGTCTTGCAGAAGCCTATATCTTAGGGTGAGTTTGGAATGATGTGAATGAGCGTAACAGGGATGGCGAACCAAAGGAATGTAATTATATGTGTAACCTGTTTCTTTTTTATCTATTGAAGACCGACCTACATTATTACAGCACCAAGCAGCATCCACCCTAAAGCTAACATGACATTTACTGTGTGCCCACTTCTGGGCAGTCAGCTTCCTCTGAGAGTAACGGCTCAAATCAGCAAGGATGGACAGAATCTGAGCAGTGCTGAAGGCACCTTCGCCCAAGGTAAGATATCGTAGAACAATCACACAATTGTTACACTGTAGATAGTGAGGCCATTCAGCCCATTGTATCTACACTGGCTCGCTGAGCCTTTTAAACTTAATGCCAATCTCCTTCATTTTCTCCAGAGCCCTTCATTTATCTAAATAATCATCTGATGTCCTCTTGAATGCCTCAATTAAACCTGCCTCCACCACACTTTCAGGCAGTATATCCCAGACCCAACTACTTGCTGTGTGTTTTTTTCTTAATTCCCATTTGCTTTGTTCGTAAAACACTTTAAAACTATGCTTTTTTGTTCTATGAGAGGGAACAGTTTCTCCACAGCTACTCTATCCAAGCCCCTCATGATTTTGAAAACTTCTGTTGAGTCTCCTCTTAGCCTTGTCCTCCCTAAGGACAACAGTCCCAACTTCTCTGATCTTTCCTCATAACTGAATTGTTTCATCCCTGGAACAATTCCCTTCCGCACTCTCTCCAATGTTTTCACACTCTTCCTATAATGAGGCACACAGAACTGTGCACAATACCCCAGTTGAGGTCTAACCACTGTCTTGTAAAAGATTATCGTAATCTCCCCGCTCATGTGCTCTATGCTTCTCGGAATGATGCCTAGAATACATTTCCTTTGCTAACAGCTCTCTGTACCTTCCTGCTATAAAGCAGAGTTAAGGCATACATTAGCAGGAAAGGTATAGCATAAATTTACAACTCGTTAAAATTATAAACCTCAGGGTGTAAGACTCTCACCTCTCAGAGACAGAAAATCCAGGGCTTTAGTCCCACAGAATTGGATTAGCTCTCCAGAGCTTTCTTCTTTCAAATGTAACATTACACCAAGAACCACCCTTAGATGGACGTGAAAAGATTTCGTGATACTGTTACATAGAATGTCAGGGGGACCTTTCCCCTGTATCCTAGCCGATACATATCCCTCAACCTGCATTACTGAAGTAGATTATCAGGCCGTTGTGTCAGTGCTATCTGTGGGATCCTGCTGTGCACAAATGATTTGTCACATTCCCTACATTACCACAATGACTGCACTTCAAAAAGTAAGCTTGATGGTCTCCAATATTTTGGAGATGTTCTGAAGTTGTGAATGGAGCTATCTAAATGCAAGTCTTCTGTTTTAGGATAGTATCCTTTGGGATTGTTTCCCCAATTCCCACTCCACTCTATCTGCTTTTCCTCCTCCCAGTCCTCTTTATCCACAGCTCCTTCTCCTCCTAACCTCCTCCCCTAACTCCATGTCCCCTCTATCTCCTTCCCCTGCTCCTCAGAAACTTCGCACCTCACCCGATCCCCTTCTCCTCATCTCCCTCCTATCCCTTTATCTCCCACCCTCCCATCCTTCCTCTTATTTGGAGATTATATCTTCTGGGCCTAGACTGTTCTACCAGGGGAGCGTGTAATCCAGGCTGCCCCTTTCAGTGTGATACCGATGGAATGCTGCACTACCACAGATGCTTTCAGCTGGGAGTTCAATCCAAGGCCTTGCCGGCCCTCTGACACAATTTGTTTTTATATTTACTTACTGAATGTGGGTGTCGTGGGCGAGGCAGCATTCCTAAACGCCCAGAGGGCAGTTAAGAGCCAACCACATTGCTGTGGGTTTAGTGTCACAAACAGGCCAGGGGAGGTAAGGATGGCAGATTTCCTTCCTTAAAGGACCCAGATGGGTTTTTTTTTGACAATTGACAATGGTTTCATAGTCATCATTAGACTCTTAATTCCAGACTTTCCACCATCTGTGGAACTTGAGTGTGATTAATCCTACGGCACAGTTTAGCAAAACTCACCATTGACAAAGGCAGTAAATCACTTCATGTTGTATATACAGCAGAGAATCAGGCCATTTGACCTATCTGCTCCATGCTGGAATTTATACTTCACACAAAACTCCTTCCACGCCCCTTTATCCCTTTCTTTTGATGATGTCATTGGGTCAAATCGCTGGAACTCCCTTCCTAAAAGCATTTTGGGTGTCCCTACATCCCAAGGCTATTTCTAATTTATTCACAGGGTGTCGTTGGCTAGCCCTGCATTTATTGCCCATCCCTAATCACCCAGAGGGCAGTTATTAGTCCCGTGTAGGCCAATGACTGATTCACAGTCGTTGGGCTCTTAATTTTTTTTTGTAGATTATTGAACTTCAATTCCACTATCTGCCATTGTGGGATTTAAACCCAGGTCCACAGAACATTGTCTGCCTCGCTGGATTAATAGTCTAGTGCTCATACCATTAGGCTAAATGTGAAAGATTCCAAGCCTCTATTTTTTTGGAGAAGAGTTCTGAACGTTAACAGAAACAGAAATTGCTGGAAAAGCTCAGCAGGCCTGGCAGTATCTGTGAAGAGAAATCAGAGTTGACGTTTCAGGTCTGGTGACCCTTCCTGAGAACTGAGTTCTGAACATTATCTATTTCCCAACAAATAAAGATTATCTTGGCATTATTATATTAGCTACCTTGTTTTTTTTCTATAGTTAAACAGTGATTGGTTGTGAAGTGCTTTGAAACACCTTATCCAAGGGGTAGTAACAATGCAGCTCTTTCCTAACTCAATACTGAAGGGTCATCTTCAATTTCACACAAGAAAACCCACTGGAAATGACTTGAACTCATGACCTTCAAAACCAGCAGTAGCTACACTGCTCACTGAGCCACCGGCTTAGATGGGAGCTGTTGTAAATGGGTTGGGAAAGGTTAATACTGAGGAGCGCCGTAAACGCCCCTCACTGTGAAAATATCATAGAGACTTGTGGGCAGAGCAGCATAGGATCTGGAAGGAGTGTGGCATAACATTTTGTCCTCTTCAATGTTTCTATAACTATGTTTATCATGTCAATGTAACCTGTAATTAGTTGCTAACATGCGATAAACTACATCTCATTAACGACAAGAGATTAATCTGGTTAGACCAGGGGTGGATTCTCTCTCCCACACTAAATCAAGTCAGTCCTGTAGTCTCCTACTCTTAAAAGAGAATGTGGCCGCAAATTTCATCGTGAGCAACAGTGTAGTGAGCTGGCTTAGCCAAGCAATGAGCTCAACTCGAAAGAGTTCCCCTGTAAACATATCCTGACTTGCATTTATAACTAGGTGCATTGAAAGGGTGTTTTATCACTCTTGCAATGCATTTATTAATTTTTCCACAGTGCTAGAGCTCTTGTTGAGAATTCCAATTTCCTCTTTTGAATCAAAAGCATTAATTTCCAACTAAAAACTCATAAAACAGATATGCAATAACTGTACAGAGGCCAGTATGCTGTCACCCTTTATTTACACGTGCACAGTACATGGACTCTGACCAGTCAGCTCAGAGCCAGGCTCTAGAACGATGAGACTCTCAGAATCTCCTGTTTATATCTGTCACACAGGGCTCCCTAATTGATCCAGGTTTTTAATGCCAATCATAATCAATGAGATCCACCTGGCCCTCGTTCCAATCACTACAAGATATGATGATTCAAATGTCTCCTTTTGTGCTGTGTCGTTCACTGAACCATCTGTATATACCAACTCCACTGCAATCTTATATACTGCTTCCTAAAGCTGGACAGACCATAATACCCATATTCACGGGATGTGGGCATTGATGTCTGGCATAGCATTTATTGTCCATCCCTAATTGCCCAGAGGGTAGATAAGAGTCAACCACATGTGTGTGGGTCTGGAATCATATGTGAGCCAGACCAGGTAGGGATGGCAGATTTACTTCTCTAAAGGATATTGGTTAATCAGATGGACTTTTGTAAGTGTTGTTGGTTACCCATACAGAAGGTAAGTTTTAATTCAAGGTACATTCATTGTATTTAGATTCTAGCAGCAACCACAATGTGATTTGAACCCACAGCCCCATCACATTATGCTGCTGGATAATTAAATCAATGACAATACCACTGCACCAGCAACTTTCATCCAGCCTTGCTAATCTCACTGTCCAAATTGTCGCTGTTTCGTCTAGTTCTGATTTCCTGGGACTGTGGCCGTTGCATCTTTGAAATATCAGTCTCTTCCTTTCAAAGCTCTGAATGGTCTCTCCTTCGTCAACTTTCAAGTCCTGCTCAACACTAGAATATAAATAAAATACTGTGGATGCTGGAAATCTGAAACAAATACAGAGAATGCTAGAGAAACTTAGCAGATCTGGCAGCATCTTGGAGAAAGAAACAGAATTGATGTTTCAGGTGTAACATGACTCTTCAAAATACTTTTATCAAAACTTTGTCGTAATCAACACTCAAGTCTCATTCTCTCTGAATCTAAACGTTCTAAAAACAGTGTCAGTCTTTGCTTTCCTAAGCCTATCTTACCTTTCTGCCATATTTATGGGGGACAGCAATGCCAGTTGGAGCAAAGAAAACATGTGGGCAGAAATACATTGTTGCAGTGCAAAATTGTCTGGCAATTTCATTCAGTCTTGCTTCAAATTAACAACATCCTACAGAACAGCAAACGTCAGCCCCCAAGCCTAACACCATTCATCATGTGCAGGGAACTCTCAAGGGGAAATTGCAAGCCTAGCTTATCCAAGTCTGTTCACATTCTCCGGTCTTGGAGATTAGCAAAGTTTCTACGAGTAAAACCTCTGAAGCGATTGTAACGAGATCAGTCAGGTGGACTGCAAAGAATATGAGATCCCTGATTGAGGCTGTTAATTTGGTCCAATCAGGGAGCCTTGGCTGACAAATAGAAAATGGAGGGCCAGAGGTTCTGTTCACTCTGAGGGCTGGCTCTGAGGAAGCTGAAACAGTGTCATCTACTATGCATGTGTACATAAAGGGTGACTTGATAACGGGATACAAGCCTCTGTAGAGTTGTTTCAACCTGACATCTTGTGATTCTGTGCTGTTGTCACCTGATGTGATCAGAAAGGAAATGAAGATCTCACTGGCCATTTTGATTGGGATCAAAGCCACAGGTTCTGATCAGGAGAAATGACGTATGCATTTGTGTTTAGGTTGCATCTGTTCATGCACAGGTAGATCTTGCTGGCTATTTTTAATGGTCCATTGCCTGCATTGGGAATGCATGCTCTATTATGCCTTCAGCATTGATGAATCAATTTTCTTGATTTGATGAACGCATCAAAAACTTCAGAGAAATTGGCAGCCTGTGATGAAGTTGGAATTCTGTAAGAATGGATTGGTTCAATCTCCTTGCTGTTTTTTTCACAGCTGCAAATTTAAGAGATTTTCCTTAGTATGGGGAAGTATAACAATACATATTTACATAATAGCTTCAATGCAGTAAAACACCACAAGGAATTTCATGGAGCCTGATCAAAGAGCATTAGATACCTGGTCACATACAGAGGAGGGGAATTTGGAGTGCCCAATCCAAAGTTTGGCTAAAGTCATAGGTTTTGAAGAATGTCTTAGATGGAGAAAAGGAGGTGGAGAGGGGGAGTGTTGTTGGGAGGGAATTCCAGAGATTGCAGCCCAGGCAACCGAAGGCATGGTCATCAATCTTTCTGTGACTAAAACTGGGAATGTTCAAGAGACCAGAGTTAGAGGAGCTCCAAGATCTGGCAGGGTTGTGGAGATGGAAGAGGTGACAGACACAGAGATAAAAGAGAGGCCAGTTGGGGATTTGAAAACAAGGAGAGGAATTTCAATGTCAACGTGGCACAACAGTCAAGTGTATACAGGCGAGTTCCTTTGATTGTTCAGAAAGAATTTAACAATGTGATATTTTACTCCTTCTGACATTTTCACTACTGACTAATGGGAGTTATTCACCATGTTGTGTCTTTCAGGTACTATTGGAAAATTGGTTCTCCCAACAGTAAGTATTTAATGATAATAATGAAGGTATGTGAGGTAGGTTCAGTATAGGGTTTGATAACACAGGGGTTCCTCCCACTGGGTATCAAAGCAAGTTCACAATCTCACAGAATAGTCTGACAGTGTCCAGGAATAGTTTGTGTATCTGTAGGACACCATGGGACACAATGTTGGGGATAAAAAAGCATAAGGATTCAAGAACAGCTTTTTTCAGTTTTTCTTTGAACTTTTTTTTCTTACTTCTGGAATGACCTGACATTAAGAATACCACAGGGGATGATTTTTATAGATGTTATGTCTCTGACTGGCATGGACGCAATGGGCCAAAGGGTCTTCTGTGCTGTAGATCTCTATGATTTTACCATTCTATGGCAAAGCGCTATTCTTTCTTATGGTGAGTGTCGAAAAATTGTACATAGTAGAGATGAGAGACACAAGTGCAATTGTCTGTGAGTGGAGGAGTTAAAATTGGCCTTGAGGTTGTAGAATCATAGAATCCCTACAGTGTGGAAGCAGGCCCTTTGGCCCAACAAGTCCACACCAACCCTTGGAGCATCCCACCCAGACCCATCCCCCTATAACCCACACACCCCTGAACACGATGGACAATTTAGCATGGCCAATCCACCCAGCCTGCACATCTTTGGACTGTGGGAGGAAACTGGAGCATGTGGGGGAAATCCATGCAGACACAGGGAGAATATGCAAACTCTGCACAGACAGTTGCCTGAGGCTGGAATTGAACCTGGATCCCTGGCGCTGTGAGGCTGCAGTGCTAACCACTGAGCCACTGTGCCACCCCCAAACCCAGAATTGGGTGAATCTGCCCCTCTGTGTCTCCATACAAAAATAAAGTGCGAGAAAGCTGAAATACAAACAAAAAGCACTGGGAATGCTCTGTAGGTCTGGCATGTTTGTGGAGGGCAATTGAGTTAATGGCTCAAGTCAGAATTAGAGGGGGTGGCACAATGGCTCAATGCTGCCTCATGGCACCAGGGACCCAGGTTTGATTCCAGCCTCGGGTGCCTGTCTGTGTAGAGTTTGCATATTCACCACGTATCTGTGCGGGCTCCCTCCCACAGTCCAAAGACGTGCAGGTTAGGTGGATTGGCCATGCTAAATTGTCTAGGGATGTGCAGGCTAGGTGGGTTAGCCATGGGAAATGCAGGGTTACAGGAGTAGGGAGGGTGGGAAGAGTAGTATGGACTTAGTGGGCTATGTCCTGCTTCCACACTGTAGAGAAAACTAAAGATCCAAATCTATGGGTTTTAAGCAGGTTGATTAAAAAAGGAACAAAAACAAAGTTGCTGGAAAAGCTCAGCAGGTCTGGCAGCATCTGTGAAGAAAGAAATCAGAGTTAACGTTTTGGGTCTGGTGGCCCTTCCTCAGAACCTTAGACTAAAGAAAGGTATTAACAGGTGAGGAAAGAACCAGATTGAAGGTGTGTAACAAGTGAGAGACAGCAGAGATTAAAATAACAGACAGTGCATGGGAACTTTCCCAATGCATATTTCTGAATATTTGTTGGAATAAGAGCAATTATTGTCCTCTCACATTTTTTGTCCTCTTTCTCAACTCCTAGGAGGGCTTGCTGGAAAGCAAGTACGAGTTGTTGGTCCAGGGGTACTCAGAGGAAAGACTGCTGTTTACCAACTTCACCTCTGTGAAAATTGTGAAGGAAACTGTCTCCACCCTAATCCAGACAGACAAGGCTGTGTACAAACCAGGACAGATAGTGAAGATTCGAGCCATCTGCATCTACCCTGATCTCAAGCCATACCTGGGCAAAATAAGTGTCATAATTCGTGTAAGTACCACTGAAGATTACGGATGGGCGATAGAGGTTCTTTGCTTCATTGCGACTATTAGCTTGGAGTTTTCATTCACTTGTGAGTCATTGGTGAGAAAAGCATTGATTGCACCTTCCTGATTGTTCTTGAGAAACCTTTTGAGCCATTGCTGTCCTTCGGGTGTTCTTGGTGTTGTTAGGGAGAGAGTTCTAAGATTTTGACACAACGACAGAAAAAGGAATGGTGATATATTTCAAAGTCTGAGGGGAACTTGCAGACGGTGATGTTCCCATGTATCTGCTACCCTTGTCTTTTTAAGAGGTAGGGGTTGGGGAGGTTTGAAACATACTCTCAAAGGAGGCTTGGCAAATTCCTGCAGTGTATCTTGAAGGTCATACACAATGCTGCCGCTGTGCACTGGTGGCGGTAGGACTGAATGTTCGCTTCAGCAGGATGCTTTGTCCTGGTTGGCATTGAGCTTCTTATGTAATGTTGAAGCTGCACCTATCCCCACAAGTGGGGAGTTTTCCATCATATTCCAATTCTCACATTCCGATCACTTAACCTGAACTATCAACATCTTTTCTCCACCAGAACCCTATGCCTCCCGACGCCACACCTCCACACCCCCTCCCCAAGCTATAGCATAAGTGCTGCCTCTCCCACACTTTACTTTAGCTCTGATGAAAAGTCCTCCAGACCTGAAACGTTAGCTTGCTCTCTCTCCATGGATGCTGTCTGACCCGCTGTGATCTCCAGCATTTGTTGTTTTCAGTACAGATTCCAACATCTGCAGTAATTTGCTCCCACTCTTTCCTCCAGTATTCCTAGCTCTGATCTGGTCTTATAACAATTGTAATTATGCGTTGAGTCCAGTTCAGTTCTGGTCAATGGTAACTCCAGGATGTTGACAGTCGGAGTTTAATTGATGGTAATAGTATTGAACATTTAGGGGAGATTATTAAATTCTTTCTTTTTGAAGGAAATGATTATTGCCTGGAATTGACTAGCAGTGACATTGATGTGCACACACACAACCTGATAATAGATTTTAACAAGGTGTAGAGCTGGATGAGCAGGCTAAGCAGCATCAGAGGAGCAGGAAAGCTGACGTTTCGGGTCTGGACCCTTCTTCAGAAATGGGGGAGGAGAAGGGGATTTTGAAATAAATAGCGAGAGAGGGGGAAGCTCTACACTTTGTTATTTCAGATCCTCTAGCTTTGGCAGTTCTTACTATCCCTGATAATAGATTTGATGGTTTAACAATTTTAACCCAATTTGTTTAAATTATCCCAGGGTTATGAAGGTTAAATTATGATGACAGCTGCATTGTCTAGGCTTCTGTTGTGAACAATAGATATTTAGGAATGATTTCATTGATGTATCAGTGATTATGATTGGATTTAATGAAATGAATGGAAAGAAAGTATTCTTTTCTGAAGCTTTTGTGAACAAGGGACCGTCATCATAAATTTGAAACTTGGCCACTCAGGGGTGGCATCAAAAAGTAGATCTTCACAAAAATAGTGGATATCTGGAGACTTGCTTCTGCTGAAACTGGGATCAGTTGAAAAGCTGATGTCTGTGATTAATAGATTTTTGTTAGATAAGTGGCATTTGGTACGCTTGCCTTTATTGGTCAGAGCATTAATATAGGAGTTGGGAAGTCATGTTACAGCTGTACTGGACATTAGTGAGGCCTCTTTTAGAATACTGCGTACAATTCTGGTTGCCCTGGTATAGGAAGGATGTTGTTAGATTAGAAAGGGTATAGAAATGATGTACAAGAATGTTTTGCCAGGACTGGAGGATTTGAACTATCGGGTGAGACTGAATAGGCTGGGGTCATTTTCCATGGAGCGTCGGAGGTTGAGGGATGATCTTATAGAGGTTTATAAATCACAAGGGACATAGACAAGTTGAATAGCCAAGGTCTTTTTTGAATGGTGGGGAAGTCTAAAACTGGAGGGTAAAAATTTAAAGTGAGAGGGGGAAAATTTAAACGGGACCTGAGGGGCATCTTTTTTCACACAGAGGATGGTGTGTGTGTGGAATAAGCTGCCGAAGGAAGTGGTAGATGTGGTTATAATTACAACATTTAAAAGACATTTGGACAGGTACATGGATAGGAAAGCTATAGAGGGATATGGGCCAAAAACAGATACCTGGTCAGCATGGACGAGTTGGACTGAAGGGCCTATTTCCATGTTGTAAGTCTCTATGACTCCAAATGTATTAACGGATAGGGTATCAAGGTAAAAAACTTGAATAATCACATTGTAAAAAAGGTAATTACCTTTGATCACATGGAACCAGGAATTAATTGACTGAAAAAGAAACAAAGAACTGCTGAAAATCAGAATCAAAAACAGACATTGCTGGGAAAAGCTCAGCAGGTATGGCAGTACCTGTGGAGAGAAAGCAGAGTTAACTTTTTGAGTCCATTGATCCTTCTACAGAACAACAACTGACTGATCACAGCTAGAGTATTTTGCGCAGTTCTGGATATCACATTATAGGAGGGAACTATACGGTAAATGGAAAAGCTCTGGGGAAAATTGATGCACGGAGAGATCTGGGTGCTCGCGTCCATTGTACCCTGAAGGTGGCAACGCAGATGGATAGAGTGGTCAAGAAGGCATACGGCATGCTTTCATTCATCGGACGGGGTATTGAGTACAAGAGTTGGTAGGTCATGTTACAGCTGTATAGGACTTTGGTTCGACCACATTTGGAATACTGCGTACAGTTCTGGTTGCCACATTACCAAAAGGATGTGGATGCTTTGGAGAGGGTGCAGAGGAGGTTCACCAGGATGTTGCCTGGTATGGAGGGCGCTAGCTATGAAGAGAGGTTGAGTAGATTAGGATTATTTACATTAGAAAGATGGAGGTTGAGGGGGGACCTGTTGAGGTCTACAAAATCATGAGAGGTACAGACAGGGTGGATAGCAAGAAGCTTTTTCCCAGAGTGGGGGACTCAATTACTAGGGGTCACGATTTCAAGGTGAGAGGGGAAAAGTTTAAGGGAGATATGCGTGGAAAGTTCTTTACGCAGAGGGTGGTGGGTACCTGGAACGTGTTGCTAGCAGAGGTGATAGAGATGGGCACGTTAGCGTCATTTAAGATGTATCTAGACAGATACGTGAATGGCCAGGGAGCAGAGGGACACAGATCCTTGGCAAATAGGCGACAGGTTTAGATAGAAGATCTGGATCGGCGCAGGCTTGGTGGGCTGAAGGGCTTGTTCCTGTGCTGTAATTTTCTTTGTTCTTTGTTTTTTGTTCTTTGGATGTGAATGTGCTAGAGAGGGCCTAGGGAAGATTCACCAGGATGTTGATTAGGCTGGAGAGTTTCAGATATGGAGACTATTATTTTCCTTGGAGCTTTAGAGATTGAATGGGGACATGATTTAGATGTATAAAATGATGAGGGGCATAGACACAGTAAACAGGAAAACTTTTCCCTTTGGTGGAGGGATTAATCACTGGGGACATAGATAAGGAACAGAGGCAGAAATCCTCATTTAGATATGCACTTGCAATACCAAGGCATACAAGGCTATGGACCAACTGCTGGGAAATGGGATTAAAATAGTTTGGTGATAG